AGGAGGTGGGAGTGGGGGGAACAGGGTTCCCCCAGGCCAGGCCCTGCATTTGGGAAGGCTTTGGGGCAGAGGTGGAAGAAGAGGCCTTCACATGAGTGTCAGGGTCCAGGGGTTGCCGTTGAGGTCTTGGGCAACGCGAAGAGCAAAGGAGGAGGTGGGAGTGGTCATGAGGGTGCTCAAAAGAAGCCACTCGATTCTGCATAAGGCTGTTCTATTTATACTGCTATAGTGCTAGTTCATGGTTACATAAGTATTGAAGATGCACATGCATGTGGCCTTGATGGCCAGGTGTCCGGTCTTCAAGGCCCTTATCTAGCTCCTTACTTATGGGTACTACATGCTGTGTTTTCAAGGTTTCTCAAGGCCAGACATAATCCAGGGTGAAATAGCAGACAGCTGTCCTTATAGAACAATAGGGAAAGTGTGGGGCAGGGGGGCTTCCCTACAATGAGCTGCCTACAGTGGTCAGGAGAAATGGCACCAAGATTGGTCCTGCCAGCCCTGGGCAACCCTGCCACAGCGCTGGCAGCACTCCAGCTGGTTGTCCACTGAGGCCGCCAGTTGCTGAGCTTCCCCCTGCAGTTTTTCTTCCCCTTCTCCTCCTCTGTACCAGTGTTCCCCATATCCAAATCCTTTCTTCCCAGAAAATGTGAATGCTTCTGTCTTGAGGCAAGTTCTGACCCTCAGTGTCTGACTTGAGATCTTCTGAGCTCCTGTTCCACAGACCTAAAGGTGAGGGATTTTCTTTCTCCTGCCAGTTCCACAATTTGTTGACTTTGTCCCAAAGGCAGCCAGGTTTCCTCATAGTCCAACCCTGGTTATTCCCCAAGTCTGCCTACCTACCTCCCAGCAGGGAGACCAGAGCTCTCCTGGGAAAGAGATTCGACACTGGGCCCTCAAAGTGTTAATTCAAACAAGCAAATTGACTCAGTCATCTCTGTATCTCTCCCCAAAGAGAGGCGTTAGATGAGGCTGATGCTGTAATCAGATTAGCAGCTGGGATTGGCCAGCTGTCCTACAGGCCTGGAGTAAAGCAGTGCAGGAGGACACAAGGTCAGTAGGGCAGTGAGAGGCATGATGCAGACCGCTGGCCTATGAGGCAGGGAGTCAGGGTGGCTGCTCCTCCCCCCACCCCAGAGCCTATATGCACCTTGTCCCAGTCTGCAGGGCAAACGGGGGCTACTTCAGGTCAGCGGTGTGCAAGGGAGCCAGGATGCTTCTGTGCCATGACTCAGTCTCTGCCATCACGAAGCAGCTAGAAATCACACACATAAATCCCAAAGCACAATGCTCCTCACAGTACGGGGAACATTCAGGGCCAACTGCACAGCTGGCGTCAGACCCGTGTCCACCCCCAGCACAGACAGGTCTGCTTTCCTCGGACAGCCACTGTCTAAGGTACCCTCTCCAGACCGGATGGGAAACACAGACATAAATGCCATGCCCCGTTTCAAAGCCCTATCTAGACCTCCCAAACCTCCCTGCTGTGTTCCAAGGGTACTGGTAGCAGGTCAAGGTTCTCTGTGTAAATTGGCTACAACGGATGATGTTTGGAAAGGATTGCCAGAGGTTAGGAGCTTTTTGTCATGTTGAACTTTTTTTAAACTGCACATCATCAAGAAGCAGTTTACCCAACCATTCAAGTCTCTCCTAGGTCCTTATAGATTCCTGCAAGGAGGTCGGGGGGGGGCAGTGGTGATGTCAGAGGGCCTCACGATGGAATCTGCGAAGGAAGTCTTCCAAAAGGGCCTGTTCAAAAAGCATGCCGGGCAGTGAGCAGAACCGAGGCAGCCTGTGAAATGAGTTCCATTCATACACACAGACCTAGGAATTACCTCAGTTTTATGACCAGAGGGCTTTTGGGTTCCTTGTATTTTCCCTACATGTGATTGATTATATGCTGGAACTCGGTGGCAAACCTCTGAGGTCCTGACCGCGAAGGGCCAACAGTGGCTGTCACCTACCAGGGCTGAATGTCAAATTAAAAGGGCTTCCAAAATGTCAAGACCAGCCCTCCATCCCCCAGTTAAGATTTTCAGAAGGGGTGAGAGGTGGGGGGAACCCGAAATGAAAAGACGACAGAACCGGACTGGTTTCTAATCCCTCCCCTCACACAAACAAAACACTCACTCGGAAAACTCCAATTAGATGCTTGCTTGTAAAGTTTATTGACAACTGTTTGGTCCCAACATACAAAACAGCACTTAAACCACAAAAAAAGTGTTCAAACAAAGTAGACAGTTAAGAAAAAACGTCTCTTCCCCCAAGCCCAATCAAACAAACAGTACAATGGGAAAGGGGGTCTTGGTGATAACTTTGTATCTTTTTTAAACAGATAAATATGATCCAGCACATCTTTCCACCCAGCAGTAAAGAAATTTCATTATGTTAATTCTCATACATCATTCTGTCACATTTAATTAAGCCTCTGGATAAAAAAATAGATAACCATTGGACTGGCCATTGTGGGATACATACAAACACAACGCACCTTCTGCTGTACTCTCCTCTCTTCAAACAGCAACTGTTAAGAGTCACACACATGTCCCAGGCTGACGGGCAGCTCAGAGAATTCCACTACACTCACATGACAGCACACTTCAGTCTCTTTGTTACCCAAAGAAGCTGCTCTGATACTGCTCCTACTGACTTGTAATGGTACCTGTTGCGTTTTTAAAGTCCACAATTCTTTACATTGGAGCAAAACTAAAGTCCAAGTGTGCAAATTCAGCCTTATGAAATCTCAGGATAAGGCAACTGATGGTCTCAACACAAAACTTCATTACACTGTTTAAAAGCTTCTTTTAAAAACATTGCACATTTGCATTTTCCTTCCTGTCATACTGTGTCTGTAGAGGAAATGCTTTCAGAAGGATTTGCAGAATGCCATACTGCTCAGAAGGCTTTCCCAATGTTGTTCCATCTTGACTGGGGCCATATGTTGAGAACTGGGTATCACTGGCTTCATTTAAAAGATTTGGGGAACAAAAATCTAATTTGTAAAAATCTCTCATCAGCCCTTATTTTGTGGCATTTTAGCAAAAGGCTGCCTATGAAATCAGAGTCCATTTTCTGGCTTTCTAGAAATTACAAAATATAAACATTTCCCCAAAAGAAACCATCCAACTAGTGGAAGACCTTATGCCAACAGGTTCTTTCTGCTCTATGAATGAATCCGCCCTTTTTGCCCAACAAATACAACCCATTGTAAATGTCAGGCTTCTCTAGAAGGAACAAGAGGCCACCCATCACCAGATGCCTCAGCCACCTCGAGGCGAAGGTCATTCCACAGGGCAGGTGCTCCCTCCAAGGCTGGCTTTTCCCAAATGCCAACATCAGACACCACAAAAAACCTAAGCGGGCTTCCAACAGCAAGAAGTGACAGAGTAAAAGCAGACACTATTAAAAGACACCGAGCTAACACCGACATATACTCATATGTAAAGCTTCCCAAAACCAGGTTTAAAATTACAAATACAAGGTTAAGTTGATCAACCTTGGCCTTTATCCATAATAGATAGAATTTCTGTCTCTTCCGAGTGGAAAGAGTTTCAATACCACTCCTGTTCAAGCACCTCACCCCTTAGCTCTGATTTGTAATTTATGCATCTGATGCATATTTTAGAAAATCAGGCTCTCTTCCCAACACTGCCTCTCGACACACAACAACATGTGTCGGAATTCAAATGCTGACTTTAAATTCATGACACCAAGACCATCTCCTTTTCCTTAACCTAAGCCATGTTCAAAATGGAACTGAACATAAAAGGGAAGCTTAAAACATCCTCAACTTTCTAGAAAGCTCCTAAATGGAACCCCAAAGTGGAAACATCTAAAAAAATCTTTGTGATGAAGCTGCATTTGTCAACTACAGACATAGTTAAATAAAAAACAAGGCACGCTTACAAGTCACATGGAAGCCAGGAACCTTCATATCCAACCTGAAGATACCTTCTCACCTCCTCATCCATCCTTCCCCAGAGTGATCACACGGGGCACCGAACAGCCTGTGCTTCAAAGACACATCATGCATTTGATTAATACTGTCTGAAAACATCAGTAAGCAAAGGCTTAGAGACTATAATATGCTACATGTAAGATTTTACCATTGATGTGGTTTAATAGAAGTAAAACCACTTCCTCCTAGCTGAGTTCTTACTTTCTTCTTATGGAACACAATTATATTTCATATTAAGAAAACTCTGGTAAAATGCATTAAGGATTCTTGAACCTATGCCAGAAATTCTTCTGTTTTTGTTTTTTTCTCTTCCAATAATTGGGGGGGAGAAAGAAAGAAAAGCTTCAGCTCAAAGCTGTGTTCAATGTAAAACAAACAAAACATTATGGATACATGTAAAGATGAAGTAAGTGGCTTCTGGGGGGTTTTCGTTAAACAGAAAAGGCTGTTTTTCGAACCCGCTTTTGTGTGCAGAATCAGACAGTGTTTTGCCATCCTAATTCTATGTTCAAAACGAGAGTCAAAGCTTGGTTATAGGTGCAAAGGAAAAGTTGGCTGCCAATTTTACTCTACTTTTGGGTTGCTTTTTGGCTGGGCTTTCACTGGGGTCCTTGCTGAGCAGTGACTCTGGTGTCTCCAAGGGGCAGGGAGGTGCCGGGACAGCTGCTGAGGAGCATGACGAGCCGGAGCCCAAGGCCGGGTCTTCCTTCTTCACTGGCACTGGAAGTTCAATTTTTCCTTCTTGGTTTAAAATAATCATTTCTGTAAACGTAGAAGAACAGACAGATTCTGTTGTAGGACCTACAAGATATTCTGGTTTTGTTTCTCTCTCACATTATCTCAAAAAATATTTTTAAGTTAACCCACTAAATGTCACACCTATTCCACAATTTACATGTTAGCTGTGTGGCCAATATTGTGTGTCATTTAGTCAAATGTTTATAAAACTGCATCTCAGCTCTTTGAATTACAGAGTTTCAGAGATCTTCATTTTTGCCTACAAATCAATGGGCAATTATTTAAAACCTTTTTTTTTAGGGAAGCTTAAAACATCCTCAACTTTCTAGAAAGCTCCTAAATGGAACCCCAAAGTGGAAACATCTAAAAAAACTTTGTGATGAAGCTGCATTTGTCAACTACAGACATAGTTAAATAAAAAACAAGGCACGCTTACAAGTCACATGGAAGCCAGGAACCTTCATTTCCAACCTGAAGATACCTTCTCACCTCCTCATCCATCCTTCCCCAGAGTGATCACACGGGGCACCGAACAGCCTGTGCTTCAAAGACACATCATGCATTTGATTAATACTGTCTGAAAACATCAGTAAGCAAAGGCTTAGAGACTATATAATATGCTACATGTAAGATTTTATCACTGATGTGGTTTAATAGAAGTAAAACCACTTCCTCCTAGCTGAGTTCTTACTTTCTTCTTATGGAACACAATTATATTTCATATTAAGAAAAATCTGGTAAAATGCATTAAGGATTCTTGAACCTATGCCAGAAATTTTTTTGTTTTTGTTTTTTTCTCTTCCAATAATTGGGGGGGGGGGGAGAAAGAAAAGCTTCAGCTCAAAGCTGTGTTCAATGTAAAACAAACAAAACATTATGGATACATGTAAAGATGAAGTCAGTAGCTTCTGGGGGATTTTGATTAAACAGAAAAGGCTGTTTTTTGAACCCGCTTTTGTGTGCAGAATCAGACAGTGTTTTCCCATCCTAATTCTATGTTCAAAACAAAAGTCAAAGCTTGGTTACAGGTGCAAAGGAAAAGTTGGCTGCCAATTTTACTCTATTTTTGGGTTGCTTTTTGGCTGGGCTTTCGCTGGGGTCCTTGCTGAGCAGTGACTCTGGTGTTTCCAAGGGGCAGGGAGGTGCCGGGACAGCTGCTGAGGAGCATGACGAGCCAGAGCCCAAGGCCGGGTCTTCCTTCTTCACTGGCACTGGAAGTTCAATTTGCCCTTCTTGGTTTAAAATCATCATTTCTGTAAACATACAAGAATAGACAGATTTCGTTGTGGGACCTATAAGATATGCTGGTTTTGTTTCTCTCTCACATTATCTCAAAAAATATTTTTAAATTAATCCACTAAATGTCACACCTATGCTACAATTTACATGTTAGCTGTGTGGCCAATATTGTGTGTCATTTAGTCAAATGTTTATAAAAACTGCATCTCAGCTCTTTGAATTACAGAGTTTTAGAGATCTTCATTTTGCCTACAAATGAATGGGCAATTATTTAAAACCTTTTTTTTCCCACTTTGGATTGTCTGGCCCTTCATTCTGTCTGTCAGGAAGTCAAGGATCCACAAGCCGCACATGACCTACAGACTTGCAGGCTAGCAGGGGCCTCAGTAGCATGGAGGCCCTGGCCACTCCACTGACAGAGGATAGCACTCACTAGACCTAGGCAGGTGGAGAGAAGGGGCGAATCCCACAGAGTCAGAATTACCCTCAAACACCCAGGAAGTGAGACAGAGCCATTTTCCTACAGTGTGCGGAGACTGCTCTTTCTCTGTGAGCCGCAGGGAACTAGCCTGCTGCACATACAGGGCCATGTTGCTTGAGAGCGATGTGCTGTTCCACACTGCACTCGCGCTGCCCATGCAGAGGCACTGAAGGCAGGAGTGACGGGATGCAGAGCCCCTGCCTTCCTCAGACCAGATCATCCAGTATCAGAAGCAGCCTGTTTCCCCACGTCCTACTCTGCAGGTAAAAAGCCTCAGTTCTTTCACTGGGCAACGTCTCCGGAGGCTGCCTAAGATGACTAAGATCTGTGAAACTGAGGCCAGTAGTCAGCAGGCTGTCCCTGGTGACCTCCTGGAAAGCAGAGCGGGGAAGAAGCAACTACGGTGATGAAGAGGGAGAAGGAAGGCCCCTGGCAGAGCAGGGGTGGGGGGCTGTCCTCGCAGGAGGCCAGGTGACATGGCAGAAAGACAGGAGGCCTGGGTTCAAATCCTCACTCTGCCACCTCCTAGCCAGCAGCCTGGGGTCACAGTCGCCTCTAGCTGGCACGTACCGTGCCTCAGTCACCTACCTGCAGAGCTGTGGTGAGAATTAAATGTGACTGTCTGCCAGCCAGGAGCTGGGTGTTGGCCACAACTGAGAGATGGCATGAAGTCAGTGCTCAATGCGGTCGGCCTCCTCTCCCCTCAGATCTCATCTCAAAGTCCGGAGCTCCAGACACAGATGCCCGCCATCCCCTACTCACAGCCTGGGAAAGCCCCAGCGCCCTCTGGCGTCATCCACCTCTGGGCTAGACCAGGAGAGATGCGGCGCCTTTACAAAGGTGGAGAATGCAAGCCTGGGAAGCCCCCCGCTCCCCTGTGGGCTCCTCCACAGCCCAGCGCCTCACCCTTCAAGACCCACCATCATTCACAGTGCTCCCGAGCCACCTCAGACCATGAGGCCATTTTCAGGTACCCTGTCAGGGAAAGGGTTCTGAATAATCAGCCCAGGTATTTTTGTGCCTGACAAGGTATAGTTTTCTCCCCACCTCCATCAACCATTTAATATGTTGGCATTATGGCTTTATTTTTTAAAGCCTCAGAACAAACCCCACAAAGACACCGCACTGCACCCTACCTGGAGGCTCTTGTGGGTGTTCCTCAAACTGAATGAGATCGGCAGACTGGAGGATGACGGGATCTGGTCTCAGCTGAGGGGACAGCAGGCAGGAAGGGACAGGTGCACACAGGAGGTCCACAGGGGAGTCGTTGGTCAGGCGGAGAAGCTCTTGCTCTGGTTGACGGGGCCCTGGACAGAGAAGGCAGGCCGTGACTCTGCTCAGGACAGCAGTCTACCACAAGTCTGTGCTTGAGGCTTTCTTTGTAAGCCTTAAAGATGAAAAAGGTCAGGAAGAGCTCAACGCAAGGTTAAAAGAAAAAAGGTAAGGAAAAGACAGGTCTGGGACACTCTTTGGTAAGTGAGATGTGACAAGCCAGGGTCTCCTGAACTGTGTTCTGAGGAACAGTTCCCCGAGGGTCCCCAGCCGAGGGAAAAAAGGGTTCCACACTCAGCTCCCAAACAGGGGATGTAAAACCCTTAGGAGGGTACAAAGCAGTTAAAGGAGCAACAGCTGAGAACTGGATAACACAGGTCCCAGTCTGGTCCCTTCCTGGCTGAGTGACCTCGAGGAAGCTGTTTACCTCCTGGAGTTTCAGTTCCTCGTCTGCAGAATGGAAATAACTGCTGATGCCGCGCTGACAGCTGAGGGAGATGGGTCACATTAAGGTGCTTTATAAAATGTAAAACACTGCCTAACTTGAGTTACCCTATGTGCAGAATACAATACCACTTCCAATTAATGCCTTGCAGTCATATGAAGACAAAATTCTCATCTACAGCCATGGACTCAAGTATTTCAACAGTCAAAACTGCTATAGAATTCAAGGGAGTTGACTTCCATCTAGAGAAGGCTCCACATAAAACCTAAGAGGCTCAATGCTGTTTTGAGTGATGTAAATGTATCACTAGCAAGTCTTTCCCAGGGATGCCCTGTGACAAGGACTCTCTCCTTGACCCAGTTCCACTGAGGCTCCTCGGAGACCACTTCACTGGGCCTTGACGTGGTCTTCCACATCTGTCCTGTCCTTGCTGAGGCCAGTCTCAGGGAAGGCGGTTTAGTGGGAATCTCCCACCCCAGCTATCCAATCAGGTTCCTCATCGTCCACCTCTGGAGTCTAAGTCCTTGGCCTGTCTTTCACCAGAATTAGCTCAGCAAGAATCCCCCTACCCATGACATCTTGGTTATTTCCCAGCTACTGGCCCTCACTCTGCTCCCTAACTATAAATCCCCACTTGCCCTTGTTGTATTCAGAGTTGGGCTCCATTTCTCTTTCTCCCGGTGCAGTAGAGTTGACTCTATTGCAGTAGTGTTAAAATGCCATTTTAACAAGTGTCAGAATAGTTTCTCCTTAACATCTGAATGGGGTTGACATATTACCATTACCGGTGTGTCAACATCCTTTAAAAGACTTAACCATTCAACCATAGACTGTATCAAATGCAGGCCAGTTTCTTATTAACCAACACCAGACTGCTTTGAAAAATAAATGAATACTCAACTTTAATGAAAATGACCCACTGTCATCCTTGTCCCCACCCACTCCCATCCCAGTCCAAGCCATTTTCTTCCAGGATTTCACAAGCTTTGTTTTTCTTCTCTCACCATCGCTATCCGCTCCAAGTTCAAGATCCGGGGCTATGCGAGATTCAGGCACCGCCAGGATATGCTCAGAAGCTGAGGGCCGGTGTTCATGATTGGCAGGGGAAAGACCGAGTAAGCTCAGGCGACCTGGATGGCAAAGAGCACCTGTTAGAGGGACAGGTCAGTGAGAGAAGCGGGGCTGCTGAAGGGGGAGGGGAATGCCGCTTACTTACTTTTCATGTCATTTTTTAACACTACAATTCTCTTATGGCCATGTCCTTTTATCCAGACCACCTATACACAAGACAAACTACTGGTTAGGCAGGGGACAAGCAGAGGAAATAGGCCCTAAAATTCAGGAAGAATGTAACCTATCGTGTCAACCTTGAGTATATTAGAATTCAGAAACTGAATTAATGTCAAGATAAATTTTTCTGTACTTTCTGTAGCTTTTAAAGCAATAGAAACTGGCAGAAATGTGCCCCCTATACAAAGCTGTATAGTCTAAAAACAGAGACTCAGCTTTAAAAACATTCCTTATGGTTCTTGGAAAGACCGTCTGCCAAACACCACTTCTGGTCTATAAATGAAAACAGTTCTCACATGAGAGCCGACTGTTTTTCCCAGAAACTAAACACATCCTAAGAGAATTAATGGCAATCTCCCAGACCCTTCAAACTAAGCTCATTATCCTAATCCTACAACAAAGTCCCCCCACCTAGTAACGCTGCTCTCCATGTCCTCAGCCAAGTAAAGGGGAGAGGCGGCCCCTGGCTCCCCGCACTCCCCCACCTGCACCTGTCACCAGCTCCCGTGGTCCTTAGCTACTTCCTCCGCCACTCAGGCTCAAGCCCTTCACACCAGTCACCAGGACCTTGACCATGGCCGGGCCCTTGCAGGCAGCTGCTCCCATTCCTCTCAGCTCTGCTGGACAGCAGCAGTGCAGTGCGCTTCACAGGCAAACCTGAGACCCTCCCCCGTCCTCTGGGTCCTCCTAACCCTGAGGAGCAGAGCCCTCGTGAGCTCTTCCTTCACTGTTAGGCTCCAGCACGGTCATGAATGCCACTGCACTCCATGCTACTTCTCGCTGCTCTGCATCTGCTTCCGCAGTCCCTCTGCCCAGGCTGCCTCTCCTCTCCTTCTCACATTAACTTGTACACACCCCTGATCACTGGGTTCTGGAATACCACCTGCTGGAGAGCGGACCCTGCCCTCGCCCTCCTGGCCCCCAGCGGCTGCCCTGCTCACCAACTCACCACCGGCTCAGGTGCCGACTCTCTGGGACTCTCTCTGAGGGCAGGGTCTGCAACTTACTCACCTGGCATATAAGAATTTAACAAGGGTTTGTTTGCAGAATGAAGGAGAAACGTTAAAATAATTCATTTTATGACAACAGTATGTTTTGAAAAGATCTGTTGAAAATGCTGCCATTTCGTTATTCTGTAGCATTCTGTCGTTCTATTCAGGAGCGTGAGCCTGTGGCTCTCCAGGAAGCTCCAAGAACACCCACCTGTGGGATTGCTCCCAAGAGCTCCTCCACACTGCTGTAGCCATAAGCCTTGGGCTGCAGTGTTTCTCCAACGTACTTGGTGTAGGCCACGGAAAACTCATGAAGGAAGAGCTGCTGGTAGTGGTAAGTGTGAAGTAAAGACCGCACATTCTTGGCAAACAGATACAAACTTGTGAGCTTCACACATTCTTCTGTCTTATCATTAGTAAAAACCTGGTCCAAGACAAAAAGGAGCACTAGGAACTTTGAGAGTGACCCCTGTCTGCCCCAGGCCCCCAAACGAGGGCCCCCAGCTGAGAGTGAAATGGGGCCAAGTCAACTTGAAATGGGCAATAAACCAGGGAGGAGGAGGGATCCATTCAAGGATCTCCTGCAAGAGAAAGCTGCCACCTTGAGCAAACTTGAGCTCTATTTGCAAATCTAGGGTGGCAGGGGTCTGAAGAAGGTGTGTCAGAAGAGGAGAAGCCTGGCAAAGCCCTAGGTGAAGAGGGCTGCTCAACAGCAGGCACAGAGGCCACTGACCCTAATCTCCAAAAGGGGTTTCCAAGGACACTGTGATGCAGGATGATGGCATTAGTGTTCTTTAAAACAAACAAAACCACCACGACAGCAGCAGCAAGGGCAAAAAAACCTCAAAGCTCTTTTGTCCTCAAGTAAATTAAACAATTTCTTTACCATAAACTTTTTCAGTCTTTAATGGGTACTGACTATCCAAGAGAAGGAATGTTTCTCCACCTTAGCTGGCTGTGGAAAGCCTTTTGTCTTGAAACATCCATTTACAATATCTACAACCAATGTTCATGTAATAGATAATTAACAAGAGTTTAGAAAATGTTGGATTTGATATCGTGAATGAAAACCAGAGCTGGACAGTAGTGAAAGCAGAATAAAATTTTTTATTCAGGAAGTATTGCAATGGGGGGAAAAAAAGAACCTCAGTATACAACTGGGCTCCGTTTGCAATGTAATGCAGAAAAGTGGGGATTTATAGGGATGTGGTGGGGAGAGGCTGGTGGATGGAAATTTACTAAGACATCCATTATTGACATCCAAAGTCCAGGTCTAGTCTATAAGGCAGCTCAGAGGAGCCAGACTAAGGTCTGGGCAAGGAGAGAGTTTTTGTCAATTACCTCTTAAGTGTCTAATTACCAATCACACGGTTATATGATGATCACAGTGTATCACTCTTTTTGTACAACGCTGGATTTCATTGGTTAACATCTTATTTAGAATCAGTTTCTTTTGGGGGACTATATTAGGCTTTTGGTATTAAAGGTATTTTGGCTTCATAAACAAAGTGCTGAGCTTTGCATTTTTTTTTAAGTGACCTTAAAATGGTTTTAAGAAGTTGGAGTTATTTGTTCTTTAAGGATTAGTTAAAACCCAACTGTTAACCCATCTGGTGCCTTTTTCAGTGGTAAATTTTCATTGAGCTTTATAGGTTTTTTTGTGTCAACTAGTCCAATTTTTAACTTCTTGAGTCAATTATGGTAATTTTTTCTACAACCTTATCTATTTCCAGAGCATTCTCTCATGATTCTTCTAATCTTTACGTGCAATTCTTGAAAGACTATCTGGTGACCAGCAAGTCAATCTTTCTGACCCATATCTGACAGTTATGTCACATGAAGCCACTACATAATCCATCTAATTCAGAAAGAGGAAAATCCAGCCTGATGTAGGACAAAAGCACCCTAGTTCAAGAATTTGTAGGCCAGGGCTTGTTGGTCCTTTGGTCAGAGTGCCCGTACTTCCCTCTGCTTCAGTCAAACTATAAAATAACCAATGCACCCTTTCAGCTCTGCACCCTCTGATCTAGAGCATTTGGTAATCCAGAAATACCCAATTCAGCACTGTTGTCATGATGGTTCTAAAGAACTATTAGCACTCGTACCTCAACTAAGTAAGGCAGACTCTTCAGAAGTTCAGTTACGGTCATGAATCCATATTCACAGGGGTTGAGTGGAGTACTGTGCATGGTTTCATAATGTCTCTTGAGCTCATCAACAGAAAGACAAGCAGTTCCTTCCCAAGACATCAACAAGACAAGCAACTGTGCAGTGAGAGAGCGCAGAGACTTGCGGTTGATCAGCTGAATCTGTTTGCCAGATTCTGTATCAGCAACCTGGGAAAACAAGAATTCAAACCTTTCTGAATTCAACAGAGACAATGTGGGTTATGCCCAGCCAGCTAGTTCATTTTGGCTGATGAGACCAATACAGGAAGAATCTCTCTTCTAAACTGAAGTAAAGTGAGTGGGTTTGTTTTTAGCTCCTCTGGGACACCAGACCAACACTTCATGTGACACTGGAGCAGAAACTGATCTCTGCCTCCGTGCTGGTCCATAACCAGATATTTCCATCAGTATCACCCCCCATCCCCACCCCCTCCACTCAAGGCATTCTTCCCACTCCCTGCTACGGGTAGGAGGTGAGACTGGCCAGCTGATAGCCACTGGCCCCAGCGTATGAATTAGGGGCTTCTGTGCTCAGGAGGTTGGGGGGTGGTTAGCCTCCAGGTGACATCCCACAGATCCGACTCTCCCACCTGTGTCCCAGGAGACAGACAGGGGAAGTGACAGCAGGCAAACTGCAGTCTTGTCCACCGTACTAGTCAAAAAGCTGGTATTTTCATTTCTCCTGATGTAAGACAAAAGCACCCTAGTTCAAGAATTTGTAGGCCAGGGCTTGTTGGTCCTTTGGTCAGAGTGCCCGTACTTCCCTCTGCTTCAGTCTAACTATAAAATAACCAATGTACCCTTTCAGCTCTGCACCCTCTGATCTAAAGCATTTGGTAATCCAGAAATACCCAATTCAGCACTGTTGTGATGGTTCTAAAGAACTATTAGCACTTGTACCTCAACTAAGTAAGGCAGACTCTTCAGAAGTTCAGTTACGGTCATGAATCCATATTCACAGGGGTTGAGCAGAGTGCTGTGCATGGTTTCATAATGTCTCTTGAGCTCATCAACAGAAAGACAGGCAGTTCCTTCCTAAGACATCAACAAGACCAGCAACTGCACAGTGAGGGAGCGCAGAGACTTGCGGTTGATCAGCTGGATCTGTTTGCCAGACTCTATATCAGCAACCTGGGAAAACAAGAATTCAAACCTTTCTGAATTCAACAGAGACAATGTGGGTTATGCCCAACTGGCTAGTTCATTTTGGCTAATGAGACCAATACAGGAAGAATCTCTCTTCTAAACTAAAGTAATTGAGTGGGTTTGTTTTTAGCTTCTCTGGGACACCTGACCAACACTTCATGTGACACTGGAGCAGAAACTGAACTCTGTCCGTAACCAGATATTTCCATCAGTATCACCCCCCCATCCCCACCCCCTCCACTCAAGGCATTCTTCCCACTCCCTGCTATGGGTAGGAGGTGAGACTGGCCAGCTGATATCCACTGGCCCAAGCGTATGAATTAGGGGCTTCTGTGCTCCGGAGGTTGGGGGGTGGTTAGCCTCCAGGTGACATCCCACAGATCCGACTCTCCCACCTGTGTCCCAGGAGACAGACAGGGGAAGTGACGGCAGGCAAACTGCAGTCTTGTCCACCGTACTAGCCAAAAAGCTGGTATTTTCATTTCTGACTATGTGTCTACTCTGATTCTTTCAGGTTCTCTGGGAGATAAAGGGTTTGAGTGATTAAGTGCACTGGGAGAAGATGCTTTTGAGAAAGACACAGGTTATCATCTGGGGACAAGGCGGCAGGTAAAGAAACCACCATTCCGGTGACTAGAGCCACAGGCCTTGGGCATGGGGACAAGTCTGTGGATTGAGCCTTTACTCCCATTAAAAGAGGCAAAGTTCAGCGTGCCTGCTGCTCAGCTATTGGTAGGCAGACCAATGTTTACATTACAGCTGTTTTTTCCCTCTATCTGGCTTTCCAGACAGCCCACAGGACTCAGTGCCCACAGTAAGGGCTGCGTAACCACAGCTTGTACCCTTTGGGGCTTTGGATCCTCAGAGGCAGGGGTACTCATGCAGCCACCCCAACATCAGTCTCTCCCTGGTTTTGATGCTCACCTAGAGCCAAGGCAGGAGTTTGATGGGTAGACCTGCTGCCCTTAGGATGGTGATGAACTTGTGGAGATTCAGACTAGATTTCCTCTGCAGAAATGGGGATTAATCGGTCAAGAGATGCAAGTCTAGGGGAGTATGAGTCACTTCATAGATGCCCAGACCATCACCTTACTCCAGCCTTTAAGGATAACAAGTAAAACTTGCTCCTTTGATACATCTCTTGATTCTCAACTCTTACTATGCAACAGAATCATCTAGGGAGCTTATAAAAATTTCCAGTGGGGGGAGAAGCCAAGATGGCAGCATGAGTTAGGCAGTGGAAATCTCCTCCCAAAACCATATATGTTTTTGAAAATACAACTATTCCTAGAAAAGACACCAGTGGATACAGTACAACAGCCAGGCTACATCTACATCTGCGAGAATTCACTGCCTCACAAAGGGGGTAAGATACAAGCCGCGGTCCGGCGGGACCCGAGTGTGCCCCCCACCCCAGCTCCCCGACAAGAGGAAAGGAGTCAGAGTGGGGAGAGAATGGGAGCCCAGGACTGCAAAATACCCAACCCTAGTCATCTGCACCAGGAGCACAGACACACATTGCATGGTGTGCTGGATATTAGGGAAACAGAACAGTAAAATCTGTGAGCGGGTCCCCACAGCCGGCATCCCTGCGACAAAAAAGTGAGAGCTTTTTGAAAGTCTTAAAGGGACAGGGGCCTCACAGCTGGACAGAAGCATCCTGGCACACTCAGCCCAGCAGCTGGGAATCCCAGGGAACTGCAGGCACCCTAACCCCCTGGGTGACAGCACAGCTCTGAAGCCCCTCATAGTGATAAACAGCCTGCCATCCATTCCTCCACTGGCATGGCCATGCCATAGTAGGGGAGTGGCCATGGGAGAGTCCATGCCCACAGCAACCACCCCGAGCCTCCTCTGCAGCTGCCCAGGCCAGACTCAGAGGCCCTGCCAGCATGCAGCAGCCCAGCACAGACAGAGGAAGCCAGGACAGGGTGTGGAAGGTCGCCATTCTCACAGGAGAGCACCCCCAGCATGCCTGCCTCTCCCTGTGGGGCTCTGGGCAGTTCCGATGGCTGTCCATCCCGCAGCAACTCAAGAAATAAAACCGGAAGCTGCTCACTGTGACCAGATGTTGTTCTCCCAGCTGACACATGTGCTGCCTACAACTACCTCTATTGCCATGAAAAGGCAGAAGAATTTGATCCAGTCCAGGATTACCCGGACAACCCCTGAGAGGAGCCTGAAAGCTTTTCCTTCAAGATTGGGAACAAGACAGGGATGTCCACTCTCCCCACTTTTATTCAACATAGTACTGGAGGTCCAAGCCATAGCAATCAGACAAAACAAAGATTTGAAGGTAAGATTGCCAGATTGTTAAGGAAGAAGTCAAACTGTCACTATTTGCAGATGACATGATTTTGTACATAAAAAACCCTAAAGACTCCACTCCAAAACTACTAAAACTAATATCAGAATTCACCAAAGTTGCAAGATACAAAATTAATACACAGAAATCTGTTGCTTTCCTATACACTAATGATGAGCTAGGGAAAAGAGAAATCAGGAAAACAATTCCATTCACAATTGCATCAAAAAGAATAAAATACCTAGGAATAAACCTAACCAAGGAAGTGAAAGACCTATACCCCGAAAACTATAAGACTTTTAAGAGAAATTAAAGACGACACTAACAAATGGAAACTCATCCCATGCTCTTGGCTAGAAAGAATTAATATTGTCAAATGGCCATCCTGCCCAAAGCAATATACAGATTTGATGCAATCCCTATCAAATTACCAACAGCATTCTTCAACAAACTGGAACAAATAGTTCTAAACTTCATATGGAACCACCAAAGACCCCGAATAGCCAAAGCAATCCTGAGAAGGAAAAATAAAGTGGGGGGAATCTTGCTCCCCAACTTCAAGCTCTACTACAAAGCCACAGTAATCAAGACAATTTGGTACTGCCACAAGAACAGAGCCACAGACCAATGGAACAGAATAGAGACTCCAGATATTAACCCAAACACATATGGTCAATTAATATATGATAAAGGAGCCATGTACATACAATAGGGAAATGACAGCCTCTTCAACAACTGGTGTTGGCAAAACTGGACAGCTACATGTAAGAGAATGAAACTGGACCATTGTCTAACCCCATACACAAAAGTAAATTCGAAATGGATCAAAGACATGAATGTAAGTCATGAAACCATAACACTCTTAGAAAAAAACATAGGCAAAAACCTTTTGGACATAAACATGAGCAACTTCTTCATGAACATATCTCCCCAGGCAAGGGAAACAAAAGCAAAAATGAACAAGTGGGACTATATCAAGCTGTAAAGCTTCTGTACAGCAGAGCATACCATCAATAGAACAAGGAGGCATCCTACAGTATGGGAGAATATATTCATAAATGACAGATCCAATAAAGGGCTGACATCCAAAATACATAAAGAGCTCATGCACCTCAATAAATAGAAAGCAAATAATCCAATTAACAATTGGGCAGAGGAGCTGAACAGACAGTTCTCCAAAGAAGAAATTCAGATGGCCAACAGGCACATGAAAAGATGCTACACATCGCTAGTCATCAGAGAAATGCAAATTAAAACCATAATGAGGTATCATCTCACACCAGTAAGGATCGCCACCATCCAAAAGACAAACAACAAATGTTGGCGAGCTTGTGGAGAAAGGGGAACCCTCCTACACTGCTGGTGAGAATGTAAATTAGTTCAATCATTGTGGAAAGCAGTATGGAGTTTCCACAAAAAGCTCAAAATAGAAATATCATTTGACCCTGGAATTCCACTTCTAGGGATTTACCCCAAGAATGCAGCAGCCCAGTTTGAAAAAGACATATGCACCCCTATGTTTATCGCAGCACTATTTACAATAGCCAAGAAATGGAAGCAACCTAAGTGTCCATCAGTAGATGAATGGGTAAAGAAGATGTGGTACATATACACAATGGAGTATTATTCAGCCATAGGAAGAAAACAAATCCTACCATTTGCAACAACATGGATGGAGCTAGAGGGTATTGTGCTCAGTGAAATAAGCCAGGAAGAG